CTTGGGGGTCGGGTTGATGTGGGTACTGGGGGGACGTGACAGGGGTGCTCCTGGGCTTGAGGGGGCGATGAGGGCCAGGGAGACCTGGGTCTGTAGCTGGACACCTTGGGGTCACTGGGGCTTCGGGAGCTGGGGTGTTCCTGGGGTGCCTGCAAGGAGGAGCCGGGGTGATGAAGGGAGCCTGTGCGTAGGTGGCTGCTGCCAAACTAGGCAAGGATTCCCTTCGTTGGAAGGGGGATTTGGCCCCCCGAGGGGCTCTGTCTCCAAGGGCTTTTCCTCCTTCCTGCCCCCTTCATCCCCCCACTCTGTGGGCGCAGGAGAGCGAGCTCTGGGTCGCTGGTGTTCCCTCTCCTGGAGGGGATCTGGGGCATGGCCACCAAACCAGAGGGAAGAGACAAAGGACTCTCCTGTGCAGGCACAGACGGCTCGGGCCGAGGGAACAGCAGCTCAAGCTGGGTGGGGAGCGGGTGTCGTGGTTTTGTTTGGGGTTTGAGGGGGGGAGAAGGCGTGCGTGGCCTGACTGCGCAGTCCCTATCGGGAGGATGTGTATGTGCTCTTACCAGGTGTTGTGCAACCTGTGTAGCTGTTTTCTTCCTCTTTCTCATCCACCCTCCTCCACTACGAGCTCTTCTGTCTTTATCCTGTTGCTGGCAGGGTGGGGATGCACCCGGGGTGAGTCAGTCCGAGGGTCAGCTGTGTCCGAGAAGCTGGGTGGTTTGTTTTTCTCATGGAGCAGTGGCAGGCAGGTCTGATGCTTCAGAGTCAGGTTTTATCTCTTCGCTGAAATGGAGTCTTTTTCTGTAGCCTCCTTTGGCACTAGGTCTTCGAACTCTCACCCTTTCAGCAACTCACGCTCCTGTTTTGTGCCTGAGACCTTCCAGACTCAGCACTGTTGGGTGGCAGTAGATGAGACTTTCTGCTAAGAGGAGAGTGAAGGGGCCAAGTCCTCTTCCAGCTCGTGGTAACGTCGGCCTGTTTGTGCATGGCAAAGCGGGGTTGCTTTCCGAGCCCCCTTCGGGATCGCTTTGCCTCTGGCTGGTTTTGTTCTGATCCTCTCTGACACAACAAAGGGGATTATTCTGCGAAGTTCAGCTGTTTGGCCAGAGCCCAGCCCAGGGCCGCGTGTTGCTGTGTGTGCGTGTGCGCTGCCCTGGGCTGCCTGAAGCTCCACGCACACACAAAATGCATCCAGCCCCAGCCGCTGCCTCGCTTTTCCTTCATTCCACCCCTTGTCCTGTGCCGCAGAGCAGTCAGACAAAGGGCCAGCCTGGGAGTAACGTGCGCAGGGACGGACCCGCTGCGGGTGGGGGCTCCTTGGACTCGTGATAAGATCAACTTGTGCTGGGGCCAGATCCTGGCAGGGTGGGAGGGGGGCAGAGAGCAGAGGGGTTGGACCCCAGGATGGAGCTGGGGTTGGTCAGGGCGGCAGTGAGGAGGACAGATGTCTCTCTGCCTTCTACACTAATCTTTTAACGGCTGTGAGCTGACGACCGGGTTCGGCAGCGTCGCCTATTGTCGAGGCTGTAATTCCAGAAGCATCTGAAGCCTCATTTGCAGTTACCCTCTTGAATGGGGCCTGCGCCAGGCTCGTGGGGCTCGTTCTGCGGGTCAAGAGCGATCCCGGGTCACTGTCCCCTGCTGCTGGGCAGAGCTGGGGTAGTTCGCACTGTCTCTTCACGGATCCGTCTAAATTCTCGTGTACACGAACTGAGGGAGCAAGAAATGTTCAGGGAGGAGTTGTGTGTTTTAAGTCTTCACCATCGTTTCTGGCCGTTGGCTTTTTTGGGAGCAGCGGCTGAATCTTGATCTGGAAGTTTGCTTCCAGAGCCTGGAAACACCTGGAAGCTGAAACAGTCACTGCAGGTTGTGCAGCGACGCTGGGAGAAGCTGCCCCTGTCCTCTTGGGACGCCTGGCGCCGGTGGGCTGGGGCAGCAGCTCTCTAGGGAGGATGGGGATGTTGCTGTACGTCTCCGTGCCACCTCAGGATTCACCTTCTCACTCGGAGGCCGACAGCGGGCCTGTCTTTTTGGCCTGCCTTAATACCTTTGTTTTTGTGGTCATCGCCCACAGGAGAAGCCAGTGGTGGGCCGGTTGTCTCTGCTGGCGCTGGAGCTGTGGACTGCGGCGTGATCTTCTTGTGCTTTTATTTTTAGCACCTGAGCTGCGTGCTGCGGCCAGTTTTGACTTGGTCTCTTTTTTCAGTGGTGACGGGCTATTTTTAGAGATTCAGTGTGTTAACCGGAGCACCGAGCACCTGATGCTTCCTTCCCCGTGAGCTCTGAAGGGTAAACAGTCTTTTCTCTGGTGGCGCGGCCATTGCGTGTCCCTGACAGCAGGGCCGGGGGTGACCCCCGAACTGCGGTCGTTCCGGCGTGCGGCTCCAGCTGGGGCCCCCAGCCCCGTCTGCCGCCTTACAGCCACGAGGCCCTCGCCCCGCCGCTGTTTGCCATCCAGAAGCAGCCTGCCCTCGGTGTCGTCACCCTGTGCCGTGGGTGCTGGTGTGGGAGGGGGGCAGTGAGCGTGCGAGGCACGTGCCGGACTGGCACCGTGAGCTCCCGCTGCGTTCTGCCTGGGGCCTGCTGCCTCCCTCCGTGTAAGAGAGCTCCGGGTTAGCATGTGTGGGCCCCGGTGGAGAAGAGGTTATGGGGCAGGATGGTGGTGAAGGAGCTGCCGCAGCTCGCGAGCCCATCCACCCAGCACAGTGGCAGGGCAGCCATGCTGCTGCTGTCCTGCCTGCAGAGCTGGCCGGCGCGGAGGCTCTGTCTCTGCAGGAGCGCAGCTGGACCTGGCAGAGGTTCCTTTTTCCTGGTGGTGTCGGGAGATCTGTGGTTTCCTTCCCTTCCTTCTCACAAGCTGATGCTTACTTCTCCTTATTGTTTCCTTGCAGGCTCGTCTCCGGTTTCCCATCGACTACCCCTATTCTCCTCCTGCCTTTAGGTTCTTAACCAAAATGTGGCACCCCAATATCTACGAGGTAGGTCGCCTGGGACAGCGTGGGGTGTCTTGGACAGGCAGGTGGGCACATGTACCATCGCGACGGACGGACTGGATGAAAATGCCAGCCTTTGTCTGGCATTGGAGCACGGCATTGGAAACTCAGTGCCTTTGGCGTTTAGTGCCTGGCACTGGAAATGCAGCTAATGAGCTTACGACAGCCGGTCTCCTGTCCTGGAGCTGTTTCCAGGTCAGCCAGGCTTTCCAGGCTTGAAGGCTCCCACGCTTGACTAGTGGGGACGTTGTGCTTATGCCAAGAGTGGATGCAGAGCGAGCGGTGTGCGTGGCCCCGGGGCTGCATGCTTGCGGTGGACTGCTGCCTGGGGGTGTGTGGGGTTTGGCTGTGTCAGGTGGGCACCGGGAGGGCTGTGCTGGGGATGCAACGTGTTCGGGCATCGGACAGCTGATGGTTAGGCAGCCTCATCCGTACTGTGCTGGCAATCGCGGGGTGCTTATGCAAGGCCTGAGGCTGCGGGCAGCATAGCGGGGACTGCCACTTCTGCTGTCCCTTCCTAGGGACCGAAAGAATGGGCTGGGATTGCCTCACCTGGCTTAAGCCAAAGTGAAGAGCGAGCAGGCTACTGGAACAGAGGACCGAGCTGCTGCTGGAGGGTGCTTGGGGCAGCAGCTCCTAAGGTTCCTGTTTCACTTGTGCTTTCAGACCGGCGATGTCTGCATCTCCATCCTCCACCCGCCGGTGGATGACCCGCAGAGCGGGGAGCTGCCGTCTGAGCGGTGGAACCCCACCCAGAACGTGCGGTAAGGGCTGCGCGGGGAGGGAGCTGCAGGCAGGAGGCTCGTCTGAGGGCAGGGATGGGAAAGCGGGGAGTTGGGGACTGCCTTCTGCTCCCAAAGCCTGCGGGAGGTGCCTAGAGGTTGTTGAAAGGCACTTGGGCTGTGTGCTTTGTTGAAGAACAGCGAGAGCTTGCATGGGAATGTGTGTGAGCCTGACGGCCTGTGCACTGCTGTCTCCTGCCTGGCCTGCTCGAATTTGCTGAGACATGCCCTTGCTGGTGGGCCAGCACCAGGCTCCTCTCCTGACCCACGGGACGCAGCGGCGCTGTGACTGCTGGTCTTGCTGGGACGTGGGTGGTTGCTGACCTGCTTCGGCTCTTACCTGCTCATGTTTATTGATTGCCAGGACCATTCTCCTGAGCGTGATCTCGCTGCTGAATGAACCCAACACGTTTTCTCCAGCCAACGTGGATGCCTCCGTGATGTACCGCAAGTGGAAGGAGAGCAAAGGGAAGGACCGGGAGTACACGGACATCATCAGGTGCGTGCTGAGCTGAGCCCAGGCCCAGCAGCGCTGTGGCACTGTTGAGAACACTTGCTAGGCTGTGATCTTGCAGGACACAGAGGATTTTGAGGGCATATCCTGCCCTGTTGAATCCCATCTGCAGGCTGGTAGGAGGGAAGGATTCTGGCTCCGAGTGTGGCTTTTGGGAGGAGCTTGGCTGGGTTATGTGCCCAGCTTTGCTCCCGGCCTAAGCCCTGTCCCTTTCCAGCTCCAGAGCTGAGGATCTGGGTTCATAGCAGACATGGTGCCAGCACGGCCTTGCTGTCAGGGCTGTCTCATGGGACCGGCATGTGAAGCTCCTGAGTTGCAGACTGGCCAGCCCTGGCGTGGCAAGGGGGGCCCTCGGAGCAGTGGGCACGTCACAGTGCAGCCACGTTTGCTCCGCTGTTCTCTCCCTCCCCTGCCCTTTCACCAGTCTTGTGTGGGTGAGCGACCCGTGAGCTGGGGCGTGAGAGGGGAAGGGCTGTCTCGCCGGGCGCCCCTGTGGGGTGAGCTGCGCGTGGCAACGAGAGTGCGCTGTGCAAAGCTCTGTCCTCACCCCCCAGTTCTCGCCCTCCAGGAAGCAAGTCTTGGGCACGAAGGTGGACGCTGAGCGGGATGGTGTGAAGGTCCCCACCACGCTGGCAGAGTACTGTGTGAAGACCAAGACTCCGGCCCCAGATGAGGGCTCAGACCTCTTCTATGATGACTATTATGAGGATGATGAGATGGAGGAGGAAGCAGACAGCTGTTACGGTGATGAGGATGACTCCGGCAATGAGGAATCTTGATGGCCCTCTGGCATTGCAAAACTTACTATAAACTACTGAATTTTACCTCAACTAGGACAAACTGGTTTGAATTTAGGATCTGTCAGCCCTGAAATTAACTCTCTACCTCGCAGGGAGACTGTTCTGCTGTTGCAAAGGAAATCCCACCACTGTCTTTGTAGAAAAAGCAAAAAACAAAAACCCTATTTTATAAACTTCCTGGGTGGGGGACGGGTGGGGAAGGGGAAGTCGCATTGGGGTGTTCACAAATCCACAGAAACCGGGGAGCTGGTGGCTCTGGCTGGATGAGGAGTGATGGCAAAACCTGGCGTTGGCTGCCCATCGTTTGGGCACGTTCAACTCTTCTTCAGCCCCACGTGGGAGGAACGGTTTGGGGAGGCTGTGGAGCCGGTGAGTGGTCGCTTTGGGTGGGAAGCGTGTGAGCGTTGTGTAGCTTTCTACAGCCTTTGAGGTGTCCGAGTAGGAAGGGCTGTAGGGCAGGCGCTGCTGCCCTCTGCCCCCAGTGGGGCTGTCCCCAGTGGGACCCTCCTGCTGCCCGTTCCCCATGATGCCGGAGCCGTGTTTGCAGCAAATGGGTCGGGAAGGGCTGGGACATCGGGCAGGACGTGCCCGGCGGCCGCCTGGCACTGCAGCGCGTGGGGAGGGGCTGTTTGTAGTTTTTAACTAGCTGGGAGGGATGGGGTAGTTCTGAGTCTTTCTGCTTCTGTTTTTTTTGGAAACTATTTAATAAAGTACTTCAAGGGAATGGCTGTGTGGTGCGTGGGTGAGGCTCTGCACCGGTCTGTGCCCCGGCACCAGTCTGTGCCCAGGCTGCGGGGGTTTCCGTGTCAGCCATGGACCTGCTCCTGCCCTGCAGCCCTGGCAGGGAGGGGTGGGTGGGCTAGCTGCTCTCCCAGGGCTGCGGGTGGGGGCTGCAGGGTGGCCTTCGAGACTTGCAGCAACTGCCTTTACTCTCTCCCCAACCCCGCAGAGCGGGCAGGAATGTCTGGGCAGGGTTGCCTTTGGCCTGGAGAGCATCTCTGCCCTTCCTGGGGAGAGGAGGGCGCAGCATCCGCTGCCTCTGCCCGGGCGCCGTGGCCAATGCTCAGTCTCTGCCTGGGCAGAAGGGTGGGCTCTGTCGAGCCCTCAGAACCCTCCGGCACTGCAGTAGGAAGGTGTTTTTTCCCTCTTGCTCCTCTCAAGGTGCTGAGTTCCTCCGAGACCAGCTGTGCCGCACGGGCACCTCTGCAGGCAGCAGACCTGCCTGGGCAGCACCCGGCCGGGCAGAGCAGTGGCTGACGGGTGCGCGGGGCCCTCGTGGCTGCTCTGATCTGGGTGCAGCTGGGCGTGCCCCGAGCCCACAGGCCAGGACCAGCTGAGACGTGTGAGCTCGCAGCTGCCCTGCTCCAGCCACGCAGCCGAGGGGCATCGCCGGTGCCTTGCCTGCCTGGGCTGGGGAGGTCAGCTCTGCTGCCAGCTCCTCAGGGCCGTGGCAGGGAGGTGCCCCTGGCAAACCACCTGCCTAGGGCTCTCCGTGACCCTGGTGGGGCTCGTGCCCCTGCTCCCACCCCCCTGGGCAAAGCTTGTCAGAGGGGTAATGAGGAAAACTCCCCCCCACCCCGTGCCGAGTTGTGCAAATGGGATCAGGGTTTGAGTGACACCTGCGACTGCATGTGGCAAATGCATGTGCTTTGTTGCCTTAGGAAATGAGGCTAAAAGGTGAATAGGATTATTGTCACTTTACTCAGGCCTGGCAAATGGCTTCCAAGGTCACCTGGCCGGCACGGAGCAGCGGCGGCCCCAGCTGCTGGTTCAAAGCCAGCCCCCCACCTCCTTTTCCTGGGGGGCTGCTCCATGCACCCCCTTACAGCTTCCTGCACCCTGGCTGGTCCCCAGCCATGGACGTGTCCACTGAATGGCCGTGCCCATGTACCTCCTGCCTTTGCCAGCTCCTTGCAGCCGGTTACCTCCCTGCTGCACTCTGGACGCTGCTGCAGGTGACGGGGCGGTGTTCACAGCGGCACTGTGAGCTGCCACCGGCCTGTGGGTCCCGGGGCGTCTGGGAGCGCCCCAGCCCTACCCAGGCAGCTCAGACAGGGGCG